TTTCCTTTGTTTGGTTAGATGGAAAATATTTTTCTCGGCCCCTCCTTGGTATTTTATTTTCCATGGAAAACAAGGACGACAATTATGCTCTCGCCAGCTTTTTTTAATTACCATTATTATTATTGTTGTTATTATTGCGTAGGGTTATAATTGTCTTTATACTCATATATTCTTTACAGTTCTAAATTCAACCAAACAATGGAATTTATATTCCCAGTAATTTCTTTTCCACCAACCAAACAATAGAATCCATTTTCTTGGAATTTATTTCCATAGAATTTCAATTTCATTTCACTTAAAATATTTTTCAGTGAACCAAACGAGCTGTTAGTTTTTAGTTATACCATTGACCTCATTTAGTTCATGAATTGTTGGTTTAGTGGTCATTTTAGTCCCCACCTCAAGTATTTTTAAAATTAATCATGACGGAAGTGTATATATATATATATATATATAACTTCCTCCCAAAAACACAAATCGGAGCTAATTTGATATGCTTTCACAATTTGCTATAGAAATTCTAATAATTTTCTCTCAAAATCAATGGTGTTGTGAGAACGATCGACAACATGGGAAGAAGTAGAAGGTTGGTAGGAATTAAAGCTACTCCAAATTGTAAGTAACATTCAATATTTTTTTACAACAAAATTGCTAAGGATCAAAGCATTTGATTTTTGATATTGCATGCAATGCTGCGTTTTCTGTATTTTGCGTGTTAGATCTCTTCCATCTTTGTTTGGTTTGTTCGCTTTCTCAACTCCTTTATTTCATTACTCATATCGGCATTGGTCAGAATCTATCACTCAAAAATACCAAGATCCAAACAGATAAATCTTATTGAGGGATACTAAAATTAAGTTAGAGGGCATGGATTGAGTCAAAAAACAATACACAATCTTTCTTGGAATCTCCATAAGATTGATGGAAACGATTTTTTTTTTTTTGAAACAAAACGAAAGCTTCATATATTAACTTAAATCCATATCCAGAACATGAACAATAGAAGAGAAAGGGAATGAGAAACAGTCCATACAGTCTGACTTTGACAAGGCCTCCCTAGCTAATAAATGGGCGACCTTGTTCGCAGATCGTTTAACAAACAAAAAGCATATATTAGAAAATGATCTAGCTATTTCTCTAACTTCATTAATGATAAGATCAAATGAAGACACCAGGGATTGGTTTTGGATAGCATTCACAACCTAGAGGCATCAGTTCCCACTTGGACGTTGTCCATATTAAGATCCTCCAACCACTTTAGTTCCTCCCGAACTCCAATTGCTTCTGCTTCCTTTGTCTTGAAGATTCCGTTCCATGGTATTTCCTTCGTAGCTAAGAAAGAACCATTAGATTCCCTTAAAACATATTAGAATCTCATCTTCCTACCATTGAAATCCAGAGTCATATCCACATTGAGTTTAATCCATTCTGTAAGAGGATTTGTCCATCATTCTCTGCCTACTATTGATATTTGACTGAGCTGCACCAAATTTTGCTAGCAGTCACTCTTGGAGGAAGGTGGTTGTTTCACCAGTAACAAAATGAACAGGGATGATCTTATGATTCCAAATTTTTTCGTTCCTAACCTCCCAAATCTTCCAGTAAATCATGACTTTTTGACAAAGTTCTTTATCAGGGTATTAAAATAATTAACCTCTAGCCAAACATGAAGTGAATCACAGTTCTAGTAGGTTATCCCTCCAATTCTGTCCCAACAACTCATAGCCATCTCACACCTCACGAAAATATGATAGGTTGACTTGTCTACCCTGTTACATATTTGGCAGATAGTTGGGAACATGCTTAATTCTTAATAGGTCATAAATATGGAGAGAGGTTGAGTTGACATGGTGCCATCTGAGCACAAAGGTTCGATCCTGTAACATTCCCTCAAGGGGAGCCACATAGGTGCCATCTGAGCACAAGATGTTTGGCCCCAGCAAGGAATTTGGTTGTTGTATAAGTCTCCAAGCTTGTTTTTCCAACATTGCCACCTTGAAATCATGAATTCTTCTAAATCTCATACCACCCCACTACTTTGGAGTTCAAAGAGCATCCCACCCTTTCCATCGAATACCTCTACTTCTTTCCCCATCACATCCCAACCAATACCTGTTCATAGCCATTTCCATCTCCCTCCCCATTTCCACAGGAATTTAAGAAAAAAAAAAAAAGAAAAAAAAAACACTCATAGTGTATGTAGAAATAGCTTGAATGACATTCTTAAGAAGAATTTCCCTCATCGCTCATGAAAGAAACTTATTCTTCCAACTATTGATTTTGCACACATACATTCTTTCTTATAAAACTCAAGATTTCCCTCTTGTTCCTCCCAATCAAAGAAGGCAATCTTATAGAGAAAAGTATTGAGTCGTTGGGCTACAACAGATAGAGAAAGTATATTGAATAGATATTACCATGTGCTTTGGGCTACAACAGATAGAGGAAGTATATTGAATAGATACTACCATGTAATAGAGTCGATAGTACTCAAAAAAAAAAAAAAAAAAAAAAGGCAATCCTAAATAATTACCATCAGGTTCCCCTCCCTCATACCCATAATGGGATCCAATCCAGACCTTCAAGTATCATTGGGCCTTTTTCCATACATGTTTTGAGTGGGATTCGAACCCCTACTGCCACATCCAATCCAGACCTTCAAGCATCATTAGGCCTTTTTCCCATACATGCTTTTACCACATCCAGTCATAACCTTTAAATCAGGCGACGAACCAACTACGCTAAACCTCATTCACATTCTTACTAAAAGTGATTGTGAATTTAGTATAATTCACTATTTGACCGGAAAGCCACAACAAAATCAGCAATAACATCTTTAATGGCAGAACATTCAGAAACAGTAGCTCTACAAAAAAAAATGTAATAGTAATCCGCAAAGAAGAGATTGGTGATCACTGGAGCACTCCTAACTATAGACACTCCATGAATAAACCCAGCCTTCTACTGCTTTTGGAGCGTAATACGGAAAGCTTCCAGGACTACAATGAAAAGATAAGGAGAAATTGAATCCCCTTGTCAAAGCCCCCTTCTTGGTGTTACAAACCCTATCTCCCTCCCTTCTAATAGGATTCTATACTTAACAGTAAACACAAGATCTCAAATCAGATTAGTCACATGATCAGCAAAGCTCATTCTACTGAGAACAACCCTTAGAAAATCACAACTAACCCTATCGTAGGCTTTACTCATATCCAATTTGACTCCCACAAACCCGGTTTCCCATGTCTCTTCCTTTTCAGATAATGATTAATCTCATAAGCCACTGTTACGTTGCCAGCTATCAATCTACTAGGAACAAAGGTTGTTTGGGGTTCAAACACCAACTGATTGAGCAAAGGTTTGATACAATTGGCAAGAATTTTGGATACAAGTTTGTAAAGAATGTTACACAGTGCAATAAGTCTTAAATCTCTCATACTCTCTAGTCTAGTTTTTTAGGGATGAGGATAATATGAGTAAGATTTAAACCCCTATATGATGAGTAAGATTTAAACCCCTAGCAATTTTCCAGATTGAAAGCAATTAGAACAGAAGCCAAAATCGCAAGCCCTATAATATCCCAAAAATGCTTAAAGAAACCGAAACTCAACTCATCAAGGCCAAGAGATTTATCTGGCTTCATATAAAATAAAGCCTCCTTTACCTCTTGCATCACTACCCTACTCCCCAATGAAGAATTTTGGATGTCTGAAACCTTTGACTCGATGCACTCTAGGGCAGGATTCATGTTACCCCCGACATAATTAAACTGGTTACTTAAGTAGGTTGTAGCCAAGGAATCAAGATTAGTACCTTTTGGGAGGACACCACTTTTGGGAGAATCTTTTGCATTTTTCTTTCACCTTTCTTGTTTATTGTATTTTCCTCCATTAACTTGTGTATTGGAGACAATGTTAACCATGGTTAGCTAGATTTACTTTGAAATTTGTGGGTGTAAGGTGTTAATGAATTTATGTGTCTAGAACTTTGATTTCTTAATAAAATATATGTATTTTTGGGTTTGCTATCTTGTGTTGTAAACTTGTAATTGTGGTATATATTATTGTTGAAGTGTGTGATTAAATGTTTAAATTATGTATTTTCTTGATATAATTGTGTCTCGATAAGAGTTAGGGCATGATTTAGAGCACTCACATTTGCACCTTAAAAGATGTGGCATATTTGCTAAGAAACTCTATTTAATTGCTTATTCTTGCTTTGCTATTGTCATTTTCTCATGAGAATGAGTTTATTACACATTTCCTTGCTCTGGATTGGGAATATGGAAATGACTCACTCCTTTATTTGCAATCATCCAAACTACCCAAATGTATGTTTCACTTTAGTTTAGTACGAGGTGATTAAACACTTGGCATCAAAGATCTCACTCATCATTCTCTTACCTTTCTTAATTTGGTTGCCTTGTTTTTATTAGTTACCTACTTGCTTGTAGTTTAATATCAATTGTTACATTATGATTAGCTTATTGTGAATAGATTAATTGCTAGTGCTTGATACATTCACTTTCCTATAATTTGTTACCTCAAATACTCTAAGTATTTATTTGTTGTTGATATAAAATAGTCACTTTAAGATAATTTTTTTTAAAAATAATGTGTGCCTATAATTCAAAGAGAATGTCCACAGAATCCTGTAAGTTTAAAGTGGGGGAAAGTCAATTGTTATATCGTGCACCAGGGCGCACAATGCATTGTGCGTCCTGTCCAAAATAACGTCGTTTTTATGTTAAGAGTTTATGTGTATTCTGTTAAGAGTTTATGTGTATTATGTTAGATTATGTGTATTATATTATGAGTTTATGTGTATTTTACTATACAATTTTAGGAGATTTTTTTTTTAGAAGTTAACGGCAAAAACGGGCAACAAAATTTCTATAAAAAAAAAAAAAAAAAAAAAAAACAGATACAACGACGTCATTTTGGCCAGGACGCACAATACATTGTGCAACCTGGTGCACGATATAATTTGCCCACCCCTAAGGGAAACAAAGTCATTTTCACTTCATATTATATTGTCATCTGTTTGTAAATGCGCTATGATAACACGTTATCTAAAATCTGATATACATTGATGATACAACTACCGACCTAAACTTCACCATTGAACAAGCTAAAAAAACACTGTTCCATTCATAGATAAATTACAGGAAACGGTGAAGAAAATCTTTGATCTGATCTATGAATGGAGATTGTGTTGGAATTATATGACCAAAATCATGTTCAATAACCACAGAGCAACCATCATCAAACATTGAAGCAAGTCGTTCACTAGCTTGGTTCTCTATCTGCCTGTCGTTGCCCTTGTCATTGCCGAATATGTGCAGTGAAGGGCAGTTTAGTGAACCCGGCTGACACTCGTCCATATTAACAGCGAATCCGGAGCACAAAATTGCAAATCTGAAATCTAGCTCCCCTTTTAACTTTTCTTTGTGTGCACAAAGCAAAGCTGCCATTGCAGCTCCTTGTGAGAACCCCAAGATCCCATCAAATGGCCCAGCTTCAGAAAACGTGGTTTTCAAATATGAAAGTGATATATCAAACCCCTTGGTCTGTTGCTGGTACTGCAGAGAATCAAATGTACAGTCTGCTATTTTCCAATCAGAGTTGCTCTCTGCAGTGTACCCGCACCCAACCAACCATGCAAACTTTCTATTGCAACCGCTCGTAGGAGGGGTATCCTTTGATAAAGAAGATGTGTGATTGCAGTTCTGCTCGGGTGGACGAAGTTGGTAGATGAAAGGTAAAACGTGGGGTGCATCAATGAAGACAAGTTCAGCAATGTTTTTGAGTTTCTTCGCTAATGACGCTGTTCTTCCTTTAAATCCAGAGGCATTCTGGCGGAAGCCATGTAAGCACAAAATCCTCAGTCTCCTGGACGTATGTGTCCCTGCAAGGCATGTTATGATGCAAAATATCAGTGAACTTTCTGAAGCATTAATGATGTGACAGAATAACCAGGATATAGGGTCAAAATAATAAGTTGATAATATAAACCATATATGCACCATCAAAACAAAGTTATATGGCATTGACAGATTAAAAAGTGAACCTTGTGTTCAACGAAACATTACTTGTCTAGTTGTCTTAGGAGAAAAAGAGTCAAATTTGGTTAAGAATCACAGACCTTACCATTTTGCCGTGCAACAATAGGCAAGTGTTGAGTTTTATTCAAAGTGGAAACAGCTTCAGGCTCATCCCCTTCAGATATTTCTACCGATTCCTCAGCTTTCATAGCCAAAACTGAGTCAACATTTCTACCATTTTTCTGGCATAGTTCACAAGCATAAAAAGAATTTGTATCCTGCATGGCACAAATAATTTTTTTTTCAAGCAAGAACACATTAGGGGAATCCCTGGAATAACTGAAAGGAAAAGCAATTGCTATATATGTGGGTATGTGGCTATGCCATTATGATGAAAGTCAAGCCAAAGAGTCATAAAATTTAATCCCTAGGACCACACAGCTCCACAATTTGGAGTTCACATAATCTGATGAAAAAACTACTAACGAACACCATAAATCTATAATGATATTAAATAAATACTACATGTTTTCAATGTTTGGTAAAATAGTTTTTAATAGCCATACCTGACAGTTCTTGCAGATTAGTACAAGCATCCTACAGTACATGCACCGTGTACGAGAAGAATAATCATCAAAAGACGAGTTACAAAGAAGGCAAGTACCCAAAATTTTTGAATCCAAGCTCCCAACTGAAACCCTGCAATCACCAATGGCTTTTAAGAACCAACAACTAAGATTCAACAACTGTCACTTATTCCTCTTTAGTAATTACCAGTCTACAATTCCATCAGTTATGACATAGAACAGTAGTATTATATATTAAGCAGTAAGAATATATGCACTACTAACTTCCAGGAAAATTCATGGACAAAAAAGCCTACACAATGATAATAACATAAATATGAATGCAGGGAAAATTGTGCCAAGTGCAAGGAAAGTGTAAGTGTGGCATTGGCAAGATGATCACAGAATTTGCAATATGAAAGGTCAAGGATCTGCCCATGTAGAGCTATACCTATGGTCAAAAACAAAATTCTTTCCTCTGAAAAACCCACCATCAGGAAATTGTTCCAGATAACGCTGAATCCCACCATACAACTGCAAAGAGGCCAACAATTTGAATCAGCATACTGACAATCATGTTAAAGCCTACTGATAAGTCCTTGTGAATTTTAAAAACTATTTAGAACTCTACAAAGGTGATTCTTTTACTGGAGTTACCTGAAAAACATTTTCAAAACCAGCACCTTTCGATTTGATATAAGCTGAGGCCATCTCACATCTAATTCCACCAGTACAGTACCTGTAAAGCACCAAGAACTGATAAATACCAAGATGACAGGCTACATGTCAACCATAAGTTTCAACTAATAAATTGCTTGGTTACAAATATCAAAATTTCCCTGTTATTTTTGGAATGTAAGGTTACATTTGCTCTCTTACCCTCAACAGTCACTTTGTAATAAAGTGGCATACAAGATTATTTGCAAAGGTAATGCAATAAGAACAACTAAGTAGTATTTTAACAAAAGGTGCAAGAAAGACGCAAAATATCTCAAAGACGATGTTTCTAAGGATAACTGGATAACTTGAAAGCCAAACCTCAAACTTTGTAATTGAAGACTCCAAATAGCCAAAAGAGCAACTATTTTGCAAATAAGGTTAGGAAGGTCAAACAGAGAGAATGAGATAATGATTAATGGCTGCATCTTCCTAAAGCCAATCCCCACCAGGCCACCATAAAAGGCACAAGTAATCTGATACATGCTTGGGACCAGGATTTTAGGAAGTCTTATTTTATTATATTACATAGTTTAGATATTAATAAATTATTAAATAGTTGTTTAGAAACTAATAAATAGTTATTTAGAAATTACTAAATAGTTACTTAACTTATTATTCTTAGTCTTCGAATTAATTTAGGTAGTTTAATTATTTAGAAATAAACTTGAAGATTTCAGCAGATTACTTAGCTTATTTAGCCATTCTATGAGTTGTATTTTACCCTATAAAAAGGGAGTATTATTGAGAATAATGCAAGCAGAAATTGAATCCCAAAAAGGGTCTAAGGGAGTTTTGGGTCTCAAGCAAACCCAGTGTTTTCTTCTCTTTATTTTCCAATTGTTATTCTCTATTCAATTTTCCTTATGTTTTCTTGCCCGTGACGTGAGAACACAACATAATCCTCTAACTTCAAAATAACAATGATAGAAATAAAAAATTGTAATTATCAAAAAACTAATAACGGGTAAACTTTTTAAAACGAAACGGCACTTCAAATAATGCTTACATAAGGATATTTTTTCCCTGCAATTTCTCAGCATTGTTATCTATCCAGGACGGAAGGTCACTGTACTGCCTAATTTCTGGATCCAAAGTCTCCACATTTGGAGTAGAGAACTTCCCAATTCTTGTCTCATATAAATTCCTTGCATCTAACAGGACTGTTCTGTTTTCCCTTTCATCCTGTATGTTGCCTAGTGTGGATATGGATAATTAAATGGTGGTTAGAGAAATCATTTAACGTACTTCTATGAACTATGTTAAGATACAACACCAAAAAAAAGATGAAAACATGAAAAAAAAAAAAAAAAAAAAACTTAGAAGCACATAGATTAAGAATTCTAAGGTCTAAGGCTACACACCCGCATCACTAAGCACAGAATGGAATTCAACTGCAGAAAGATGTCTTCCAGCATCTGAAACTTCTGCAGACTTTGGCAGCGGAAAAGAACTCAAAGTGACCAATTCCTGTACAACAATTAAGGGCTAGCATCACAATCAAATAACATTTTAAGGGAAGTGGTAACTGCAATAAAAATGTTGAATAACCTTAACAATGCGGATGGATAGAGAAGTGAATCCACATTCTTTAGCAACCCTATCATCCAAAGGTTCGTGAGAAGATGCAAGCTTGAAATCTGTCCCTTCAAACAAACTATTCAGCTTCACTGCAGAAATATGCTCCTCTAAAGCACACAACTTCCCCCCAACCTGTATGAAACAAACAAACAATCAAAGATCTCCAAGTCAGTCACACTGCGGATGCCACCAACTTCTCAACTTTTTTCATAGCTCAGATTGCATACTCAGCTTAAGGATACAAATACGTAAATGCCTAAATAAGATGTCTGTATATCAATCGAGAAACCGAAAACTTACATCAACATATAAAGAAAACACCAATCCAATACATAGAAGGGAAAATGAAAGACAACAGATATTCAAAGTAAATAGAGTGACGCTGTGAGCTATATCCTCCTAGTGATATTTAACTATTATTTGCATATATTCCTATCTGAATAGGCATATATTTGGAAAAAAAAATTGGGGATTACGGTAACATTGACGCCGTAGGGAGAGAGGCGGACGCGGCCAACGAGGGAGAGAGAGGTGCAGTTGGATCTGTAGAAATTGAGGAGTTGTTGGAGGTCGGGGATGGTAGCGTATTTGTAGTACAATAGAACGCCGTAACCTTCTCCTCCATCTCGTTGTGGCTGCTCGATTCCTAGGGTCGCCATTGATGATGGTCAAGGTCACTGAGTCACTGCATGCGCTGAGTGAGAAGGAAGATGGCAGGGCAGCATTCCTATTTCCTGGCTTGGTTTAAACCCTTGCTATTAATACCCCTCAACTCTGAGTTAATTGGCACTTGCGCCAATTAGGGAAAGTAAGTGGTGATACTTTTTTTTTTTTCTAATCTAAATTTTTAAGAGTAAATACCCAAAATGGTCCTTCGACTATAGCTAAATTCACAAATTGGTCTTTGACTTTCAATTTCAACCAATTAAGTTCTTAACTTTGCAATTTTAACACGATTTGATCCTCCGTCTATTTGATCGTTTGTTGACTGTGATTTTTGAGGATATATATGTAATATCATGGTCCATCGTCGGTTTTTTAAGGTTCCGATTGCATTTTCAGACCGCACTCTAGTTGAGTTCGTATCAGAGCGAAGAAGACGACGTGTTTCTGAAACGGTGCAACGTCATTCTGGAGGCCTCCATGTGCTCCGACGAGAGCTGCAGGTTCTTCTGGAGATCGTCGATGACGGCGCAGCCGCCAGCGATGATGCAGAATCGTGAAATTACATATATATCCTCAAAGATCACAGTCAACAAACTGTCAAATAGACAGAGGACCAAATTGTGTTAAAATTGTAAAGTTAAGGACTTAATTGGTTTAAATTGAAAGTCGAGGACCAATTTGTGAATTTAGCTATAGTCGAGGGACCATTTTGGGTATTTACTCAGTTTTTAATAAAAAAAATAATAATAAATTTCAATCAAAGGTTATATCATTGATTTATGTACCTCTTCTTATATGCGCCAATTTGAGATCTTAGGACATTCTCAATAGTGAGGATTTTATTGTAATTTTTGATAAGTTTTTGTAAGTGTGATTAGGAAACATAAGATGGGAGGGAAGAGAAAAAATAAAAAATAAAAACAAAATAAAACTGATTTCAGAAAAGAAAAAAAAAATCTAAGTAGCTACAGAAAAGCGCCCGATGGGCGCAATGGTGAAAGGCAATCCTGTGACGCGCGAATGGTGCAAAATCCCACCTTTAGAGCAGAGGGTCCCACTTTGCTGCAAAATCTCTTGTTTTGTAGGAGGTATTCTTCCTAAAAAGCTATCTTCCCATTACTAAAATCCCATCACCATTAGATTTTACTGTTTGAAAAACTTGGGATGATCCTCCTATTGGGGTTGCCCTTAGTACTAATCAATGAAGCCCCGAAAACAAACATATTTCCAATACTTAGTGCGATACAGCAATAAGCTGACATGTGTATGTGTACAGGAACGGGTGCGGAAGCTACCGCTGGTGCTTTGCCGGAAGCCCTTCATCTACCTCAATATATGAAAATTCAGCACACATAAGCTTCTCCGAACATTGAAACACTTTTGGATTTCAGACCCTACTGAAAAAGGGTCTCCTATCGCTTCGGATGATTTTTGTGTGTGTGTGTGTGTGTGTGTGTGTGTGTGTGTGTGTGTGTGTGTGTGTGTTTTTTTTTTTTTTTGGTATACCAGTGAGAGATATGTTCCAATGGCCTCCGCCCACTGTAAAAGCCAATAGGTTTTGGGTTTTAAAAAAAAAAAATCCTTAGTCGGAGATCTGGCATTAAATGCTTCTAAATTCAATTCAAAGGATGTCTGAATCAAAATTCCAAAAAAATGGTGGTCATATGTCATATCTCAAGCTAGCGAGAAAGCCAGGTTTTAAATGTTAAGTTTTAAACTACCCTTACATTGTTATAACTCCAACTCCATTACTTTTGGTCCTTGACTATTGTTTTTTTTAAATTAGGTGTATGACTTTTTAACTAGTATACTTTTGATCTTTCAGTCTAATTTTTCGGTCACATATTATCGGAATTCCAACCGAAAAAATAATATGTTATAATTAGAAGGGCATTTTGGTCCTTTCAAATTTATATCATTTTTCTCTTTTATTTTTCTTCTTCTTCTCGTTTTCTTCCTCAGCTCTCCGATTAGTACACGTGAATTATTTCCTACTTTTTTCTTGGTTTCTTTAATACTCAAAATTTGCAGAACACAGTACTGAATTTGATATTTTATTTCATTTGTTTTGTTACAGAAACAAAGGAAAAAGGTAGGAATATGAATTTTAATATTGTTGTATTGTATTATGAATCAGAATTTTAATGTAGAATTGTAGTACGAATAAGAATGTGTAGGAAACAATATATTCTATGAATTGTATTACACTATTTTACAATATATTACGCAAACTTTAATTAATAGTATAGGACTATTTTGAGCGGAAAGTTAAATGAAAGATTTTGTTTTTATATATAGTATAGATAGATAGATAGATTAGATTTATTATTATAGGTATTGAAGTAATTGGATTTATTATTATAGGTATTATTTTAAGAATTTTAAAATTTAGCTTAAAAATTTGGGTTAATCGGTTTAACCGACCAATTAACTGAAAAAATTTCGGTTAGGTTAATTCGCTAATACAAAGTTTGGTTCGGTTAACTGAATGCACATGCCTAAAACTGAAGAGTTAATTACCGAAATGGTCCATTGACTATAGCAAAATTACCAATTTGGTCCTGAATAAACAAATGTCTAACGACTAAACAAACAGATGACTAAATTGGTTAAGATTTTTAAAATTGAAAGACTTAACGAGGCAAAAAAATCAAGGACCAAATTGATAATTTCGCTATAGCTAATTGACCATTTCAGTAATTAACTCATCTCTAATTCATAATCATAAACCTTAACTGCTCGTTTGGTTCGCGAAAAATATTTGAAGAGAAATGAAATTGAAATTCCATGGAAAAAATTATCGGAAATATTAATTGTATTATTTGGTTGGTAGAAAATAAATTATTAGGAATATTGATTCAATTGTTTGGATGAGTTTGAATTTGATTGTTAGAAATAATGATTATAAAGACAATTATACCCCTAAACAATAATAATAATTAATAACAACAACAATAATAATGGTAATTAAGAAAAGTTACTGATTACATAACTCTCTTACTTTTTTTTTTTTTGAAATATGGCGTACCAATATATTAATTCAAAAATTGAATGATAGAGTCAGGAGGGATTAAATCCCAGTACATAGAATGATCCTGATCATGGGCTAATCTAGCAAGAGTATGCGCATGTAAATTTAAAGTTCTTGGAATAAAACTAAGCGAACAATTAACGAAACTACTAATAGCTATCCTGCACTGCTCAACCAGAATTCCAGTATACGATAAGTTCGGTGTAGTTACTGCATGAACCGCATTCTTTAAGACAAGACAATCCGTAAGAATATCCACCTCGTTCTCGTTTCGGTCTTTAAGCCAGGACAAGGCTTCCTTGCATGCTAGTGCTTCTGCCATACGAGGAGTTAAACACCCCGGGAGTTTTCCGCTTGCCGCTGCTTTGAACAAACCATTCGGATCGAGCAAGACCGCCCCATAGGTTGCATTTCCCGTTCCCGGATCGTATCCGGCGTCGACGTAGCACGCCGTCCGCCCGGCTGCCACTGTCTGCACCCCGCCGGCCGGTGCCGCCGCTGGGCAAGAATGAAGTGCCGTGTAGCTCGCCTCCCCCGCAGCTGCACGGCGCCACACCACCTCCGGTCTCCGTACCGCATGGTCCCAGACCGCCTCGTTTCTGGCCCTCCATAAAAAATAGAGGACCCCCACAGCGCGTCTGACCTGTTCGCCTGTGAGCATATCCATAACAGTCATAAGCCAATTCGGGAAAGATGTTGAAAAAATATTCATAATAGGCAATCCCGAAATATTCCATACGGCTCTAGAATAATCACATAAAACTAATGAGTGCATAACATTCTCATGTGTAAGACCACACAACATGCATGTTGGGTTCACATCTACCCTCTTTATAATCAAATTTGTTGTGGTTGGGAGTATATCACACACCGCTCTCCATAAAAAAGTTTTCCACTTGGGGGGGACTTTCAACTTCCACAATGTAATCCATTTATCAAATTCTTCCAAGGTGTGATTAAATTCTCCAATTAGACGCCTATAAGCATCCTTTACAGTGTAGCAACCATTCGCATCATTATGCCAATACCATATGTCTTTATAGTCTGGGCTCACAGGTATTCTCAATATACGATCCACATCCTCTGGTTCAAATAAATCTGTTAAAATATGGGGGTCCCATGTTTTTGTTTGCTGATCTATTAAACCTGCAACAACTGCATCCCTTAATGGTTCAGGCATTACTGTTTGAACCAATGGACTAGGATTATCCTGCAACCACGGATGACCCCATATCAAAGTCTCCTGGCCATTTCCAATTCTCCTGCGGACGTGGGCAATAACAAAATCATGAGCAGCCATAATACTTCGCCAACAAAAGCTGGGATTATTTCCCACCGTTGCATCAACAAAAGAAGTTTTTGGGAAATATCTTGCTTTATATATTCGTGCTGCCAGAGATCCTGGTTTCGTTAAGAAACGCCATGCCTGTTTACCCAACATTGCCAGATTAAAATTCCTCAGGTCTTTAAACCCCAATCCACCAAACTTCTTAGGGATACACAATTTATTCCATGCTTTCCAGTGGATTCCTCTGTCTGGCCCTTTCCCCCACCAATACCTATTCATGGCCCTTTGTATCCACTCGCAAACTGATTCAGGGAGCAAAAAAACACTCATTGAAAATGTAGGCATAGACTGAGCCACACTTTTCAAAAGCACCTCTTTGCCAGCCTGTGATAACAATTTCTTGTTCCACGAGAAAACTCTCTGTCTGATTTTATCTTCTATATAAGAGAAAACTGCCCTTTTATTTCTCCCTATAAAAGAGGGTAACCCCAGATATTTTCCAAAGTTTCTTGCCTGTTCCACGCCCAGACATTCGGCCACCTCCTCTCTCATCTGTTCCGCAGTATTCTTACTATAGCATATATTAGATTTATGATAGTTTACCAACTGACCAGATAACTCCCCATACCTTTCCAAACACTGCTTAACCACCATAGCTTCCTGGACATTTGCTTTAAAGAACAACAAACTATCATCAGCAAAAAATAGGTGTGATATTGGGGGGGCTCCCCTAGCCACTCTACAACCGTGAATAGATCCTACTGCCTGTTCTTTCTGCAAAAGCATGGATAAACCTTCAGCACAAATAATAAATAAGAAATGTGAAAGTGGATCTCCCTGTCTGAGACCCCATGTTGGTTGCACCTGACCTCCACTCACACCATTGATCATCACACTGTATGATACAGTGGTAACACATGTCATTATCAGCTTAATCCATCTTTCATCAAAACCCATTACTTCCAGCATCCTTTTCAAGAATGGCCACTCCATCCTATCATAGGCTTTCGCCATATCCAGTTTAAGTGCTCCCCACCCAGCCACTCCACACTGTTTACGATTCAAAAAGTGGCCCACCTCTGCCGCCACAAGTATATTATCCGTTATAAGCCTTCCTGGAATGAAGGCACTCTGAGAGTCTGAAATCAGATCCCCCAGCATAGGTTTCAACCTGTTAGCAATCATTTTTGCCATAATCCTGTATAATACATTACTGAGGGCAATAGGCCTCAAATCCGCCACAGTTGTAGGATCATTCTTTTTCGGGACCAAAACAATATTAGTCGCATTCAAATCACCCGGGACTTCACCTGAATTCAAACAATTAACAGCAAAATCAGACACATCCTCCCCAACTATATCCCAAAAACGCTGATAAAATCCGGGATTCATCCCATCCGGTCCCGGTGCCTTGTCAGGATACATGGCAAATAAAGCAGTTTTGACCTCGGCCACATCATAGGGACACAACAATGCCTTATTCTGGTCAATTGTCACACGGGGCCCAAACTCATCAAACAAAGGATCCTCACACACAGGATTACTAGTAGCAAAAATTGTATTGAAATAGTTGATTACTACATTATTCATATCCTGTCCCTCCACCCATACCCCATTCTCATTCAACAGCTTAGAAACAGTATTCTTTTTCTTTCTAGCAGAAGCGTACCTGTGATAATATTTCGTATTCGCATCTGCGCCACGAAGCCAATGCTGCTTCGCTCTCTGCCTCCAAAAGACATCTTCCTGGGCTTCTAACTGGGAGATCTGGTTATTTAACAGCTGGAACTGAGCCAAAGATGCCGAATCCCTCCTACCTCGGATCCGCCCCTGCTCCCTGCGGAGTCGCCGGATATGCTCTCCAAACTTATGAAAATGGTCACCGCCCCAGCGCATCAGTCTATCCCCACATCGTTGTTGACAATTCAACAACCCCTTTGTCCTCCCCCCTTGCCAGGCAGTTTCCACCACTTCTCTACACCCCTCATCAAGCAGCCATGCCATCTCAAGCCTGAACCTCCTCGGAACCCTTCCTCCTCCCCTTTTTCGTGCATTCATATCAAGAAACAGAGCTGAATGATCCGAGTTACTAGTAATTATGTTCTCCACACCCGCCCCTCCATGCACATCACACCACTCCATCGTTGCCAGTACCTTATCTAGTCTCTCCTCCAACCATTGATCCGTTCCACTATACTTCTCCCATGTGAACTGGTATCCCCTCATAGGTAACTGGCGCAATCCACACTCATCCACAGCTTCACTGAAACCCCGGAGAAAGCTATCTGGATGTGGATTGGTTCCCCTTTTCTCATGCTGGAATAAGAGATCATTAAAATCTCCTATTACAACCCACAGAAGCGGAGACTTCCCCACCAAAGATTTAAGCAACTCCCATGATTCTCGCCTTTGACTACTCTTAGGGAAGCCATAGAAACACGTCATACGCCATGTCTCTCCTGATAACATTCGGACCTCAATATCCACATGGTTTTTCGAATAGCCCAGTAGTGTAGCTGTATTATTCCTCCTCCACAACAAAGCCAGTCCCCCACCATTCCTCACACTATCCACATAGAACAAACCTTCAAAACTTATTCTCACACGGAGTCTCTCCGCATGATCTCGCTTCACCATTGTTTCCATTAGAAATACAAAGTCAGGCTTCTTACCGGACACAAGGTCCACAATCTCTCGAACTGTACGTGGATTGCCCAAGCCACGACAGTTCCAACTTATCGTACTCATGATGATGGGCGGGACTGGACTCCAGCTCCCGCCGTTCGCAAGTTTTTTGACACATCGGTCATAGCCACATCCTCTCCTTCCCCCTCAACCCCCCGGCGGCGCTTGACAGTTGCCAAGAGAGGGTCAGGTAGAGCCGTTAAAACGGGCTTAGTCTGTCCCGCCCCACCAAAAGCGCAAATTATGCTGTGCAACCGTGTGCACCATGTATGGTGTACACGATTACAAAAACGACGTCGTTTTGACTAACCCGCCTAGCCTTTTTTTTTTTTTTTTAATTTATTTATTTTAAATTTTAAAATGAATAAAGAATTTAAGAATTAAAGATTATTATTGATTATTGATTGATTATTATTGATATATTGAAATTTGAAATATTGAAACTAAAACGCGCAGCCGCCCAGCCCTAAATCCTAACTTCCCCCTTCTGCGATTTGTGCCGTTTCTCCATTCTCCAACTCTCCGTCTCTCCCTCAGTCCCTCTTCGCGGTCGCCTACTGCCCTACTCCCAGCCACGCAGCCGACCAGCACACTAGCACAGCCGACCACCTCCGGTTCTCCACTTCTCCCATCCCCCGTCACAGTACTGCAGTAGACAGCAGGTCAGCAGTCCAGGCAGACAGCTCAATTTCCAATATTCTAATTTTACTTCATTATTTAGGATAAGTTGAAAAATCTGTTCTTTAAGCTTTCTGTACCATAATTGGGTTCATATTTCAGTGCTGGATCATGCATTCATGCTTGCCTAGGAGTTGACAACTTCCATTGTTGGCTAACCCAGCTAGGAATCAGAAGAAATAATGCTACTATAGAACTATATGCAATTGATAAATTCATACAGGAATACAGAATATTAGAGCTGCCATCTCATTGTTAATGCTGAATTCCTTTTATTCTTTTGCTAAAACTAATGAAAATGACCCTTGAGCTGAATTATTTCACTCAGTCATATGATAAGATGTAGTTCTATCATCTCTAACTCTACGATAGATTAACTTGATGGATGTCAATTGACTATTTGAATTGTTTTGATTTTTAAAGGTGTTCATTACTTTTCTGACCTCACTGAACAAAATTCGTGCATACACCACTGTCAGTCACCCCATACAAACTAGAGTGAGTAGGTATTGAGCTGAAACGGTGAAGAAAATGAGGGAAGAAGAAATCGACAGGCTGAGAGGGGTGGTGAGGGACTGCATGAGCAAGCACTTGTACTCGTCAGCAATCTTCTTTGCCGATAAAGTGGCGGCGATAACGTCGGACCCCACAGACATCTACATGCAAGCGCAAGCTCTCTACCTCGGTGGACACTACCGTCGTGCATTCCACCTCCTGAATGCCTCCCAAATTGTTCTCCGTGATCTCCGGTTCCGCTATCTTGCTGCTAAGTGCCTGGTATGTGTGCTATTCCTCATTCAATTTTCTGGAATTCTCACCTTTTTAATTTTCATTCATTTGGAAGTGAACTTCATAGGTTTGTCTCTCTAAGAAAAAAAAATGAGTAAACTCGTGTGCTACTCCTACGTAGGGTTAAAGGACCAATATTTGGTAATATGATTCAATTTGGCAATTGCAAATTATTAGATACCCAAGTTGTTCATTCTAAACTGACTGTTTCATTTGGTAGCTTCTTTGTGTATATCCTCTATGTTCTATATATTGGCTACATTTGGTGAAGATGATTTAATCTCTTACTAGGATTTTAGTTTAAATAATCTACATTTTAAATGTTTAGCATAGATTATTTTTGAAAATAAGATGACTCATTCCTGAATTCTGCCAATACTTTAGCTTATTTAAGCCGTTTTTGCAAAGTAACATGACAAATACCATAATCTGTAATAAACTTTGCCAACATGGCAACATGACTGTGGATAAACTTCGATGAATTTGATTTTCTTGTGTTCCTAAGTTTCTATTTTCTTATAAAAGGGGCATTTCTGTGTATGTTACTTAGATAAGATTGAAGTTATTGTGACTCATGATTCTAATTTCAGCATCTATTGCATTTTTGTAACTTCTTCTGTTTTACTTATGAATTTGTATCATTAGGGGGAATTGAAAGAGTGGGATCAATGTCAACTAGTTCTTGGTAATGCAAATGTGGATGAACATGGAAATGTTACTGAACTTGGGGATTGTAGTAGCATGTACCTGGACAAGGATGGTGAAGATCGTGAAATCAATGTATGTTAATTCCTTGGGAGGGGGAGGAGATTCACCTTGGTTTCTTTCTGTGAATTGCAATTGTAATTGTAGTCTGTTCTGACGTATACCCTCTCCATTATCCAGTTCATTTAGTGTTTGTATTGTGGCAGATTTTGTCTGCAATATGCTTCTTGAGGGGCAAGGCATCTGAAGCATTGGAGAACCGTGCACAAGCTCGGCTATGGTAAGTATAGTAATTTCCTAACACTATCTTGTTTGATATAGTATTTTGTAACTGCTCTATTTTCAATGTACTCATCTATATATGATTATGTGATTTCTTATCCTTTTCCTGTTGTACAACATGTGTTCACATACTATTGGGAGTAACTCATCTTTATATAACTCATAACTGTTTCTATGACTTATGCAGGTACAAAGCTGCCATCAAAGCTGATCCTTTGTGTTACGAGGTGTGCGGCTTGATTTGTTATTTGGTTATTGATTCTCCAAATTTTTATAGGTGCTTTTTCCTGACTGAATGGAATTGCAAATCCTGAAACTATTTTCTATACATTGGACAACAAATATACAAATGTATTTAATCTTTCTCTTTTAAATATATTTTTCTTGCCTTTTTACAGGCCTTGGCATGCCTTGTAGAGAATCATATGCTCACTTGTGATGAAGGTGAGGATTCATTAATCATTTAATCTATGTTACTTTCTAATTTATTGTTGGGATTGAGTGCTTAAAAAGATTGGTGTAATTTTATATGGAAATAGGAACTGCAGAAATATCCGAGCAAAGTCATTTTGAGACTCCAGTTTACTCAAAATTATAACATTCTGTTCTATTTGCTTGTGAAATAAAGTTCATTCATTTGTTTTAATTGTTGCACTCTATCAGAGGCAAGCCTACTCTCATCATTACAGTTTGGTGCTGAAGATGGTTGGCTCTCTTCATTCTATTCTTGCTTGGTAAAGAAGGTAATAATTTCATATGAGCTATGTTATCAGCTGTATCATCCTGTAATGTCTTCTGGTGATGCATCAAAAATGGTTGTCTTTCCTCTTGGCATTTCAATTATTTATTGCTTCTATGTGTGAACGAATTATTATCAATAATGTTTTGCAGTATGAAAAAGAGAATGTAGTGGAAGCGAAATTTAGGGAACTGGAACAGGATGGTCCAAGTATAAAACCATTAGACAAATCCTTATTGTGCACACTCAAGACGAATACTGATCTTTTGGCCTGCAAAGCTGAGTACTATCATCAGTGTTGTGAATATCAAAAATGTTTTGAACTAACATCCACGTAAGTTGGTACCTGATTCAAAGGAATACTATTAACATTTTACGTGCTTCTATAATTAATGTTACTTAGATAACAGCTTCTCCCTTGTTCCATGATCACTATGTAACTCAGATTACTTGAGAAGGATCCATTCCATCTTAAGAGTACCTTAGTGCATTTGGCAGCTGCCATGGAACTGGGGCACTCAAATGAGCTGTATGTCATGGCAAGCAATTTAGTCAAGGACTACCCTCAGCAGTGAGTATGCCTGAACACTGTTAATTTTTCAATTGAAGTTTGCGTTCTTAGTGAACAACTTAACATATCATCTTTAACTTCTTTCCATATTGTATTCCCTGTACATTATTCTTGTCATTTTTTTATATATGGAATGCCGTTACATGATTACATCAATGCATGACACTGAATGTGATAAGAAGAATGTTCAGGATTTTTTTTTTTTTTTTTTTTAGTAAACATATTGAACACATCTTTGCGGCACATATATTCCATTTTTTAAAATGAAGGAACCATTTCTGTTTGTTATCTATATTCTTGTTCTTGGACATCCTTTTAAAATCCTGTTAACTCGCCAGTGTGTTCTTTGACCTAGGGCACTGTCATGGTTTGCAGTTGGTTGTTACTACTATTGTATAAAGAAGTATGAACAAGCACGCCGTTATTTTAGGTATCAATTTTACCTACCTAGATTTTTCTATTTACAATTTAATTTGGCACTGTCCTCAGTGTCCTGCCACTGAGGATTGAAAGCTATGTGGTTGTTCAAAGAAATCTTATTCTTAATCAGTGTTGCAATTTAAAAGCTTTGGCACTTGTACTACATATGGGGTTATATGTGTCTAATTTTATTGGCTATCGTTTTTTCTCTAAATAAATTTTATAATTTGTATTTACAGTAAGGCGACTAGTTTAGATGGAACATTTGCTCCAGCTTGGATAGGTTATGGTAATGCTTATGCAGCCCGAGAAGAGGGAGACCAAGCAATGTCTGCCTACCGTACTGCTGCTCGCTTATTTCCTGGGTAATTGCACAAATCAGGCAGTATATGGGGAATGCTAGATGAGTTAAAAGTATTATTATTATTATTACTATTATTATTATTATTATTATTATTACTATTATTATTATTTCAATGAGGCTAAATTGAAAGAAAATCAACTAAGGTGGATGTTTGGACACGTAGACCTATGGATGCACCAGTTTAGCAATAATAATAACATTGGTCTCAATCTCATCTATAATTGAAACCCAAGTTTAGATAGAATTTTTGCTTTCGGTGTTTGGAGGTTGAATCCTAATATTCTCTTATTCCAGATGCCATTTGCCCACTCTATACATTGGAATGGAGTACATGCGAACCCACAGCTTCAAACTTGCTGAGCAGGTAATTGACATTAATCTGTGAATTTTATCAATGTGGATCCAAACTTGTGGTACATATGTTTCCTGCTTGAAACTCGTCTCCTCTTCTATGGTATAAGTAATTAAATCTTCCCTGCAGTTTTTTATACAGGCAAAGACAATATGCCCCTTGGATCCACTTGTATACAATGAACTCGGAGTGGTTGCTTATCATATGAACGAGTACGAACCTTAACCCTGTTCAAATATGTATTCCAGAAAATCCAGACATGTAATAGTATTTTATCTGCAACTTATAATAAAGGTGTCTTGTTCAAATTGAAACATCTTTGTAACAGTTTGCATAGTTGTTAGTCATACTTAAGTGAGAATTTATGCGCTAAAATTTTCCCCCATTTCACATATTTGGCTTTTGATTACTTTTCCCTTCACAAATGTCTTTCTATTGTTACCATAATACATTATTTTCTTCTTTGTTTCACTGACACTTTCAGGTATAAAAAGGCTGTCCATTGGTTTGAGAAGACATTGGCTCACATCCCATCTAACCTGAGTGAGATGTGGGAACCAACAATCGTCAATCTTGCTCATGCATTGAGAAAATTAAAGTAAGTAAACTTCTGTCGTCTACACACTCCACATTATTCGAACGTGTTGTTATCTCGTGCTTCAGAGTAAATCACTCCCGTGTTGGTTCTTCGAAGCGTTAAGGTTCATGTTTGCCTGTCTGAATTCATATATTGCGTTAACATTTTCAAGCTCTTCTTATCTCACCCTACTTCAATGCTCTCTCCAGTAGGCATTCTTCAAAATATTTCTTTCTTTCTTTCTTTCTTTTCAGGAGGTACAACGAGGCAATTACATACTATGAAAAAGCTCTTGCATTGTCAACAAGAAGTTTAAGTACATATGCCGGACTTGCATACACTTATCACCTGCAGGTAACTTTTAAGTACTCAATGCTATGCAGGAAAAGTTGCTTGGTTTGACATCTTGAACGCCATAGATTTACAATGCTGACTCTTTCCTTAATGCAGGAAAAGTTCTCCGCTGCAATTACTTACTACCACAAGGTGAGTTGCATCTAGAATAGATATTTAATGTCATTATCAATCAAAGGAATGGTTTATATACGGTGTGTCATTGACAAAATGCTCAAAATAGCGAGTTGCAACTACTTTCAGCCTCATTTTCAAACTTTGATGCAGGCTTTATGGCTCGAACCAGACGATAAATTCTGCACCGAGATGTTGACTTTGGCTCTAGCGGATGAATGTCGATATGGCACCATTCCAAGAATTGAATCTCACCATAATGAGCTATTGATTTAGAGGGCACACAAGATGCAAAACTTCTGTGTTGTAGTTATAACAAGTCGGTATATACCCATTGCCCATACCCCATGATCTGTATGGAAGTAAAAATCATAATTTGGGGGGTTCAATTGCCCCATCAGATCAGCATCTAAGTGTTTCGTGCGAATGATGATTTAAAAGAATCATCTCCCATTTTTGTATCAGGTATGGAGTACATCTTGTTTGTGTAATTGTACAAGGTTGTCTTGTTTTCATTTTCCAAGTATTGATGTCTTGTGAGGCTGTATCTTGTTGACTTTATTACCAAGTTATAGGACGTATTTATTTCCCATTTATCATATCTTTATTACCAAGTTATAGGACGTATTTATTTCCCATTTATCATATCTTTATTACCAAGTTATAGGACGTATTTATTTCCCATTTATTATATATGCGTGTGCGTGTGGTTTTTGTTTTGACAGCATTACAATTTCATTTTCACATAATTTTGAAGGTAAGCAAACTCTTTTGTTTGGTCAGAGCGAATTGCAATGATATGTTTCATTTGTATATACATGCCCCTCCCTTGGTATTTCAATTTCATGGATTTTAGGAAGAAGAATCATTGAGACAAAAGTACTCCTCTCCTTTTTTAATCTAAAATTGATGTTTGACATCTTTCTTTTGATTATAGGGTGTGTTTGAAAATTAGGAAAATGATTTTGAGTCATTTTCTAGAAAACATTTTCATATGCCGTTTTTGATTGCATTTCATAAATATGTCTTGGTATGTTTGGTTCATTTTTTGGAAAATGAGTAGAATTGTATAATTAAACATTTTAATTGTAACTGCTTTCTCTCCCAACAACTGTTTTCTCTCCATTTTTCATCTGTAAAGGCCTTGCGACGCCATCCTTCGGCTGCCGGTTGATGCTCTAATGGAGAGTTGAGCCGGCGGTGCCATTAGTAGACTCCATCCTCTGGCTGTTTTAGGAATAAGCGTTAAATCTCAGATTATTTCCTTTAGAGAAGGTGTCAGAGATTCCAGATCTGACAGGTTTTTTATCATCTTTACCATTTATTTTGTTATCTTTTGGTTCTAGTTATCCCTTTGTTCCTTTAACTAGTTTGTTTTCTCTCGTCTCTTTGGCGAGTGTTTCCCTCTCGTTTCTTTGGCGAGTTTTCCTCTCGTTTCTTTGGCGAGTTCCCCTCATAAGTGTGGAATGATAAAATAGTCACATCAGAGTTAGGCTTGACTATGTTTGACCAGATCTGTGAAGAAGCACCGAATTCATTTAACAACTTCGGCTTCAAATTTATAAAACAATCCGCGATCCAAGTTTTTTATAACATTGTTAGGAAATTTGTTTTTATGTCTAACTGTAAAGAATGCATTGTCATTCTAATGATCGGTATTGTAAACATTTCTGTTTATGATTAATGAATTAACCTTTTATTTAAAAAAAAAAACATTTTAATTGTTTTGTTTAGAATATAATAATAATTAATAATTTAATAATAATAATAATAATTTTAAATATAATAAAAAAAAATAATTAATAAGATATTAAAATAACAGACCAAAATAATCAAAGGTTTACAATCCACAATTATGAACAAAGATTACTAATCAAAGTGTTGGAGTTGGTGGTGGTGGTGGTATTATTTGTTCTATAATAATAATAATAATAAGTGGTGGTGGTATGGCAGTGGTGTTAGTGGTGGCGACGACGGTGGTGGTGGTGGCAGTGGTATGGTGGTAGTGGTATATATATTGGTAGTGGTGGTAGTGTGGTTGTGGTGGTGATGGTGTTGGTAGTAGTAGTAGTGGTGGCAGTGTGGTATGGTGGTGATGGTGTTGGTAGTAGTAGTGGTACGGTGTTGGTGTGTAAATTGGAAAATGACTTTCCAAAAAAAAAAAGAAAAAAGGGAAGTCATTTTTGAAGAAAATGAGGTTATTTTCCTTTTACCAAAGAGTCATTTTCCTTTGACTTACATTTTCAATCCTTTACCAATCACTGAAAACTCGAAAAACAAAAATCACTTTTCGGGTTTCCAAACACACCCAAATTCACAGTAAGAGAAAGAGATCAAAGCTACAAAGCAAAATCTAGTCATTAAAACGATTATGTTAACCGATTGCACACCCCTACATTTTCGCGAATGAAACGAAATGATTTTCATGTTTTAGCAAATGGATTGCAATTATGAGAAGATGGGCCCAAGCTTGGATGCCGTGGTTTGATCCAATCATTATTACATGGATCATCGTCCACACAATTGTGTGGACCATAAATGAAAAATACATTTTTAATATATTAAAAGTACATTATTTGTATACTGAATGTACATTTTTTGAAGGTAGATTATTTGAGTACTAAAAGTACATTATTTTATATATACTATCAAGTAATGTACTTTTGGTACACAAATAATATACTTTTAGTATATTAAAAATATACCTATATTCATGATCCACACAGCTATGTGGACCATGGTCCACACAATAATTTGCCCGTTTGATCAACAGTGGAAGGAATTTTGGGCTCGCGCTTGGGCTAAGGTTAGGAAAGAGATTTAGGGTGTGTTTGGTTGATGGGTTTTGCCCATACGATATGAAAGTGATTGTTATTGTTTGGTTGATATGTTTTTAGAACACTACTATGTGTTTCGAATTGCAAATTATGTTGTGCAACCGTGTGCACCATGTATGGTGCACACGGTTGCAAAAACGACGTCGTTTTGACTAAAAACGCGCGTCCCACTTAAAAAAAAATCAGGTTCAATTCCCGACAATAGTATTTTTTGTGCATAATTTGAATTATATATCCACAAGTTCATAACTATATATCCATAAATTCATAACTATATATTCACAAATTCGTAACTAAATATCCACAGTGAATGAATAACACAAAACCCAGAATGAATGAACTAAATATCCATAAATTAATAACCATATATCCACAAATTCATAATTATATATCCACAAATTTATAACTATATATCTACAATAATTCATAACTATATATCCACAATAATGCTGTTGAGGGGAATCGAAACTGATTTTTTTTTTAAATGGGACGCGCGTTTTTAGTCAAAACGACGTCGTTTTGCAACCGTGTGCACCATGCATGGTACACACGGTTGCACAACATAACTATTGGTTTCGAATACCCCATGAATTGAAAAATTCATATCCAAATAAAATAAGGGTTTCATTCCGCTATTCATTCTCAAGCACTACTATTAGTAACCATTCCCATTCGACCCTACTACCAAATATGTTAAATACTTTCACCAAAACATATTACCATTACCAAGTATTTGATACCATTCCGATTTCGTTTCCCATGTGCGAACCAAACACACCCTTAAGTCTTTCTTATTTTAAATGTTTTTTTTTTTTGAAAAACAACTACATTCATTCAATTAGTCAAATTTGAAATAAATAAATAAAAAGAATTAATTTCACTTTTGGTCTCACGACTTTTGAGGTTTATCATTTTCGATGCACAACTTTAAAATATTTCAATTTTGATGCTTAACTTTGTTATTTTAACAATTTTGGTCATTTCGACCAAATTGATGGCGAAATGTTGTCGGATTTTAAACTTTTATGAGTAAAATCAACTTCCCAAGGAAACAGCTTCAATATCTAAACAAAATCACTGTAAAATCATATCTATAGGTGTTTGATCGATGAGAATAATGGGAAAGACGGGCAGAAACTAGACAAAGATCTATGGGATTTATAGCGTCGTCGATTGGCAAACTGTTCTTTTTCTCTTAATATGAATTTTCTTTTGTTTATATGTTGAAGATCTTTCTTGGGATGACGATTTTGCGCCTAAAATATAAAATTTGGCAACATTTTGTCATCAATTTGGCCAGAAGGACCAAAACTAATAAAAATTACAAAGTTAGGCACCAAAATTGAAAAAATTTAAAGTTGTGCACAAAAAGTGATAAGACCTCAAAAAATCGTGGGACCAAAAGTGAAATTAATTCGAAATAAGAACATCCTATAAAATCTAGGGAGATTGAAAATCCAATCTCTACGCTGAAATAAAGAAACGACATGCTTTGCAAGAAAATGCGCAATCGCAGAGCATTTTACAGAAGAGAATTTCAAATTTGTTATCTCTGTAGCTATCGGCCATGTTTGGTTATCAGCTTATCCGCCATTTTTTAGCGGATTTGACCATCTTTAGCGGGTTGACAAAGTCAAACCGCTAAAAAAGACGTTTGGTTAATGGCTTTTTCACTTAGCGAATCGCTGTCCAATGCGCTAAAATTGACATGCTACTAGGAGCAGCGTTTAGCATTAGCTTTTCTCCATTTATTTTCTAAATCTCAATTTTGCCCTTGTTTCTCTCCTTTTTTTTTTCATATACGATGACTTGCTGTATGCCTCATTCCATATATCTAAAATGCAACTTTGCATTCCTATAATTAAATTTAATAGCTATTTTCCCCCTTTATTTTTTTGAAAGCTAGCTATTTTTCCCCCTTTATTTAATTCTTAATTAAATTTAATATCATACAATTACATTTTTTTTTTTTAATTTGGTGGCATACACTCACACTTATTTTATTCAATTTCAAATGTATTGCTCATTTGAATTAATAATTTTTATATAGTTATAATTATTATAATATTATTGCCAATAATAATAAAAAAAATTACACTAATGTCCTTATAGGTCATTTTACATGTTAACCGCTATTCTAAACAGTTAATTTTTACCAAACGTCTTTTTTACAAACCGCTGATACAATCTGCTGGTCAAACCCACTAATCTAATCCGCTATTTGTTAACCGCTAACACAATCCGCTAACGCTAATCCCGCTGATTGCCAAACAAGGCCGATCATCTTCACATCCTTTACTAACAGACCAAAATAGGATGATGAGTCTCCATTCTAAATCTCTTCAAATACTAGCCATGAATCCATCTCAACAGTGGCATGCTCAATATGACTTTCCTTGATCCATTTGAGTTTGAATCCATTTCTTTAAGGTTAATTGAACCCTTTTTTCGAAGGGATAGATCAATGCCTCCCTTAGACCTTCTTCTTCTTCTTCTTCTTCTTCTTATTATTATTATTATTATTATTATTTTTTATTTTTTTTGTTATTAAATTGTGACTAGAATTGTTCTTTTTTTTTTTTTAATTAAAAAAATCGATGGTACAATTGAAATGACATATTTATTTTAATTTCATTATACCATACTAAGTATGTCATTGAGATTAGCATTTTGAAGAAAATAAGCAATATAGGACAGATGCAAATTAAAGAGGAGCAATATGCTCCTTTTATAGAAGAGTCGTGAGATTCCTCTTTACTTAATAAATTAGGGTCTGTTTGGAAATCCGGAAAATGACTTTTGAAAATCATTTTCCAAGTTTTTGGTGTTTCGGAAGGCTGAAAATGAAAAAGTCAAAGGAAAATGCTAGCTAGTCAATGGAAAATGAGGACTAAAATATGGAAAATGACTTCCCTTTTTTTTTGGCGGAAGTCATTTTCCATCTTTCAATCAACATCCGTAGACACGCTTCTTCTCCCTTCACTGCTTTTTCTCCCTTCACTGTTTCTTCTCCCTTCACTGCTTCTTCAACATTCAACAGAGAACTACCAACACATCTCCTCCAACAATCCACAAAAGCTTCACCAACAAACAAAAATAAAAATATATTATTCGGTATATAATAATTAAAATGTTTAAGTATGTCATTCTGTTCATTTTCTGGAAAATGAACCAAACACCAAAAGACAGTTTTCCATCATTTTCTGGAAAATGAACCAAACACCAAAAGACAGTTTTCCATTGTGCAGCCAAACACAAGAAAGAAAAATGACTTCTGGAAAATGACTCATTTTCCAGAAGTCATTTTTTTTGAGTTTCCAAACAGACCCTTAATGTGCAATGGGAGAGACACAAACTTTCCAAATGTCTTGTATTTTTATTTATTTATTTTGTAATAATAATAATAATAATAATAATAATAATAATAATAATAATAATAATAATAATAATATTATTATTATTATTATTATTATTATTATTATTATTATTATTATTATTATTATTATTATTATTATTATTATTATTATTATTATTATAAGTATGTTATTATAGGTTTTTTATATATAAATCTCTAATCTTAAATGATTTAAAAAAATGTACATCTACAATTCTCTAATATTATCCGCAAATCAAAATCACTAACACAATCCACTGATCGCTATTTGCCGATAGCAAAACATGGCTGAAGTGCAAAAAAAAAAAAAAATCTTCTTATTACTTATTAATTGATGTTGTTGTGAGGTCCCCCCCCCCGCCCCCCCCCCCCCCCCCACATTTTTTTTTTTTGAGGAATGAGTTCATGTCTCCCTTAATCCTTATTTTTTAATTCCTTTATTAAAAAAATTAAATAGTACAATTAAAACCACATAATAATTTCTTAAGTTAATTTCAGCAATAGTCTTCCGACTATTGTAATTTTTCAAATTTAGTCCTCGTCTTTTAATTTGGACGAAATAAACCATTGACTATCAAAATTGTTCCACCATTGGTCCTTCTGTTAACTAAAAGTTAAATAGACGTTAAGTTAAGGGGTAAAAATGTCCTTTCCCTTTCTTCTCCTCTCCGTTCGAAAAATCTGTAGGAATCACTGTCGTAGGTGTCATTGCAGCTGCCGGTGATGACGATGCCGTCGAACTCTCCGATGACGTAGTATTATTCTCCCCCAAAATTTTGCGAAAGCAGAGGAGACAAGATTTGAAATGTTTTCTGTCGCGATTTCCATACACGTATGCTCCATTACACCTTCACCATTACCACACAACCGTGCTGGAATCGACGTGCTTGGTAAGAAATCGGCGAAACTTCGGACCCACTTCATCGTATTGGCAATCTCCTCTAATTCTTCGTCAAAATATGCGTGGAGAACGGCTGAGCCGCCGTCATCGTCACCAAGAACCACACCGTACTACCGGTAACAACATCCGCCGTTCTTGGACAGCAGCGTCGACATGGAGGAGCTGTTACTGTCAATAAGCAAGACAAGCAACGAGCACGAGCTTTACGCTTTGATGTCGCCGTACAATATGATATGGTGGATCTACAGGGGTTTCAGAAGAAACCAGTAGAGGAAATGACTATTTTAACCCTTCACTAACGTCTATTTAACTTTTAGTTAACGGAAGGACTAATGATGAAACAATTTTGATAGCCAAGGGTTTATTTCGTCCAAATTAAAAGACAAGGATCAAATTTGAAAAATCACAATAGTCGGAGGACTATTGCTAAAATTAACTCTACTTTCTTTCTTTAAATACTCAAATTCTTTACAAAGTAAATCTCCACTATCAAAATTCAAATCTATAACTATCTATCTAAAATGGTAACTAGATCTCACAACATGGTAGTTTACTAAAATGACATAATAATTATTTGAATTTGATTGCACGGTTTTAACCCCTCTAATCTCACCGGTTACCAAATGGGGCTTTATAATTAATTGGAAAAGGTGGAAAAGAGGTTTAATGAATCCAATCCGCCCAGATTCAATGTAAAAGACCAGATCGGAAAAGACCAAAATTAAGCAGTCCCATACCCTCCGTGTCTTCAGTGTGAAGACCACAAAACCAAATCACAAGTTTAATACTAACTACGTTTTTCAGTCAACCAAATCTCGTAACACAAACTCTGCCCTCTCACTCACTCTATCTATCTTCGACATTTCGTCGAACACTTGCACGGCGGGTGTGAAAACAAAAAAAAAAAATGTCTTTGCGGCCAAGCACCCGGGCGGATGCCCGGAAGAAGTCGTACAAAACTGGGGTGGATGCGGACGAGGCGCGGCGGCGGAGGGAAGACAACATGGTGGAGATCAGGAAGAGCAAGCGCGAGGACAACCTGCTTAAGAAGCGCCGCGAGGGCCTTCTCCTTCAGTCCCAACAACAACAACTCCCCCCCGACGCTACTCAATCCGCCGCCGCTATAGAGAAACGGGTATGAATTGATGATATTAGTATTGATCGTTTTTTTTCGAGATTTAAAGTGTAGATTGGGAATTGTAATGATGATTTTTGTTGATTTAGCCCTTCGTGAAATTTAGTAATCTCCTCACTGCAGCAGGTTCACTACTCGACTTGCTTCTGTGATTACTTTTATACGTGGTGTTGCTTACGCCAACTCCTTTTCCATATTCTTTTTAGATCGCTCATATTTGCTTGTGGGATTCTTGGTTGTTCAAATAGTGTCATACATAAGATTAGATCAGACTCAATGGTGAAAGAGAGTTTGATTAGAAATCACCTATTGCTTGTGATCCCATGAAAAATGTTATTGTTTTAAAAACATATCACTTAAAATCACCCATTTTCTTTGTTTTCTGTTTCCTTTCTGTTATTGTTTGTTAAGGAGTAGTTTATATAACATGTATTAGTTATCATTTCTTATATGATATCCAATGGTGTATCTATCTTTTCTTTGGTCTATAGGATTTCCAAGGTATGGATTTCAACCCCATTATCATTTGTGATTTGGTACCATGTGAAGGTTTTTATGGTGGACATGTCACATAATTAATGTTGATTTAGATTCATCATCTCTATCTTCTTTATTTATGTTCCTTTAGGAAAAGAGGAAAATAAATATTTCAATTACAAGCATTGATTGTTGTACAGCATAGTTAACAAAAGAGTAATGCCAGAGTAGTTAAAGGACAATGAACACTAATGTGCAATGTTCTCTAGCACCTCACACTTCAATGTGAGATGTATGTTGAAAATAAGTGCAAAGTATTATAGAGGTTCACAAGTTCAAGAGCTTGTGTGCCTTTAAGGGTGGGCAAGAAATGATTCAACCAAAATATTGGGTACTAAAAACTTTTGTGCACTGAAATATCTAAACACCTGAACCCATTTTTATACATACATGCCGTATCGGGGGTAGAGCTAAGAATAAAGCTGAGTGGGAACAAAGTTCAAGCAATTCAAAAATGTCCATGACGAAATATCAAACAACAGTAAAACGGTTTAAATGCAAACTAATCATGACACATTATAAATTAGAAAATAAATTTCTAATTACCAATTAGTCATGACATATTACCATTTACCAACTAATTCACAATAAACAATTCACTACCCATAATTCACAATTACAATTAGACAATTAATATTTTATAAGTATATCTAACAAATTACTTTTGGAAAATTTAATAATAAAATTTCATAAAATATTTAGGGATTTAGGGAATTAGGATTAAGGGTTTGAACTTGAGGAGCTGCTGCTGGATGAGTCATGATTCATGAGTGAATGACAGAGCTGCTGACTTCGCGGAGGGCTTGAGGTGGAGCTGCTGTCACTGGCTCGATGTGGGCTGCTGCTGTCTCTGTGGTCTGTAAAGACTGAAGATGAAGTGGCGCAGTGTCTGGCTGCTACTGCTTGTTGAAGTTTGAATGTTGCAGCTGCTTGCTGAAATTTGAAATTGGCAGAAGTCTGAAGGCAAATCTTTTAGGTGTGAATGACAGAATGTTGTGGTCTGATGAAGGAAGAAGACAGGGAGTGGTAGAATGTGTAGAAGGTATAAGTAAATAAATAAATAAATATATTCCTAGTAAAAAATATCAGTGGGGACCACTGCCCCTATTGTCCCTCACTACCTCCGATCCTTGTTACAATGCGACTTTTTTGCTTCTTTTCCAACCTAGTTGATAGGTCCCGTTTCCATTTTTAGAAAAAGGCATGGCAATGAAAGGTATTTGAGAAAATTCATAATATACTCCGTATTTAAAAAAAAAAAAGAGTTATGTAGTTTTATTGGGTTCAGATACAACCAGGATGTCATGTAATTTTGAAGTGTTATGTGGGTCATGAAATATCAATTTAGTTGACAATTATTGAATGTGTGATATACCATACATATAGACAAGGATTACATATTTGTGAGCCTCCTGAAGCTAATCTTTCCAACTTCATAATCTTGTCATTTTCATTGATTCCATTTGAGAACATTCTTTATTTATAATTATTGCACCTATTTAAACATTGTTGTTAAGGCGTCACTTAGGTGTCTGGTTGGTGGAGACCAGTTGCCTAATGAGCGTGCCTCGCCTTAAAAAAAAAAACCCTACTTACGTAGTTGAGAGCTTGAGACGCTGACTCCCCCCCTCCCAGCCTCACCTTAGTGGTTGTTTATTTGTTGTATGATAGGTTATGGCTGAGAATGAAAATAACCCCAATTATGGCTAAAAGGAAGGCTAAATCTAAAGACCTATGCTGGAAATGCTAAATTAATGCATAATTTAATACTTATTGTTGAGATTTGAGAATATGTTTATATGCTAAAATGCTAAATTATGAATTAATATATATATATACTACTTGTATGATACTTCTTTTTGTCTACACAACTGTAATTCATTAATTTCTGATTGATTGCCTGTTTTATAACTGAAATACATGGATGATGCTACCCTTTGTCTTGCAGTCTACATTTATTCTTATCTTAGTTGTGTTTCTTTTCTCTGTCAGCTGGAAAGTATACCATTGATGGTCCAAGGGGTATGGTCTGACGATCCATCTGTACAGATTGATGCAACTACGCAATTCAGGAAGCTGTTGTCCATTGGTATCTTTGATTCTAAGGACTGGAACTCTTCCTCTGCTATTTTCCCAGCATAATTATTAAATTATCTGTTGTTTATATATTTGTAGAACGGAGCCCGCCAATTGATGAGGTCATTAGAGCTGGAGTTGTCCCACGCTTTGTACAGTTTCTTGGGAGGCAGGACCTACCCCAATTGCAAGTGCGTATATGTTAGTATTTTATTTTTGTTGATTAGCATTACTATCTAAATAATTCATTACTTTTGTTGCCTTTTAATAACAGTTCGAAGCTGCTTGGGCTTTGACAAATGTTGCATCTGGGACATCGGAGCATACACGAGTTGTCATTGATCAGGGTGCTGTCCCTATGTTTGTACAGCTTCTTAGTTCACCCAGTGACGATGTCCGTGAGCAGGTAACTATCTTTATTTATACACAAGTTTGTTTCTGGATTTAAAATGAAATTGATGCATTTTGATATTGAATACATTTCCTAATAAATGTACCATCTCTGGATATGTAATGGAACTTATTATCTATATTATATTTAAACTTAGAATGACAAATCAGTCTAAGTATCAACATTCTAAAAGAAACTTGTGCCTACTAATTTTTAGAGCATATGCTGGTCCTTTGTTGTTGTTGTTTTTGTTTTTGTTATTAATGGATCTATGCTTTGCCCTTACACTAAACAGGCAGTCTGGGCTTTGGGTAATGTTGCTGGTGATTCCCCAACCTGTAGGGATTTGGTTCTCAGTCAAGGTGCACTCTTGCCATTGCTAGCTCAGTTAAATGAGAATTCAAAGCTTTCTATGCTCAGAAATGCTACCTGGACTTTATCGAACTTCTGTCGAGGCAAGCCAGCAACACCATTTGCACAGGTTGGTAGACTGGACACAAATCTACTTCAAGTTTGCTATCTAGTTTTGTCTATTATAAATGGTAACTGGGCCTATTTTATGACAAGTAAAATTATATGTACTTGTATATATATAGAGACATGTGTGTATGTGCACTTATAATCATATAAGAATTGGTTTATTTTTTTTGACCCCATTCAGGTCAAACCTGCTTTGCCAGTGCTTCAGCAACTTATCCATTTGAATGATGAAGAAGTTCTGACAGATGCTTGTTGGGCTCTTTCTTATCTATCTGATGGTCCCAATGAAAAAATACAAGCTGTAATTGAGGCAGGTGTTTGTCCAAGACTTGTAGAGCTTCTGCTGTATGTTCCTTATTCCTTACAAATATCTTAAAGTCACCTTGGGTTTTTTCTATTTTACCTTTTAGCCATCCAGCTCACCATGCTCTCTACCACGACTGAACTGTTAACTTATAAATTTAAGAAATAGTTCATGGGTTGGTTTTGTATTTGAACCCTGGTGGACTTTAATGCTAACTTCTATTCTTTTTCTTTTTAACATGGTCCATGAAGTCATCCTTCACCTTCAGTTCTCATACCTGCTCTTCGAACAGTGGGGAATATTGTCACTGGTGATGATGCTCAAACACAGGTATCGTGGTATCAACTTGCATGCAAATAGTATCTCCATTTTATTCTTGTGCTCTATCCTATTGCCATCTTATCCTTATGTTATGTCCTTAGCATTGTTATCATTTACCTATTTGTTGCATTCCCTTAGTCTTTTGCTTCCGTGCGGCCTTTTATTTTTATCTGTTTCTTAATATGGAGTATTTATCACATGAATGCCATGTTTTGGTTCCTGACCTGTCAATGAATGATTTTTTATTTTTTATTTTTTATTTTTGTATATTCAGTATGTGATTGACAACCAAGTCCTCACATGTCTTTATCGGCTCCTTACTGAAAATCACAAGAAGAGCATCAAGAAAGAAGCTTGTTGGACAATCTCTAATATCACTGCTGGAAATAAAGATCAAATAAAGGTATGTGGCTCGGATTTCATTTGTGCTTCTTGCCATTGTGGAAATATTCTATTTAGCGACTTGTATAGTGAATTTTAATTTTATAATATCTTCTGAGGTCTAAAACCTGTTCTTTAGGAATCTCTTTTCAACTTTCGACAATTTCCAATAAAACCATTCCAGTTTTAATTTTCTAATCTTGATATATTTTATTTATTCATATAGGTTATTGTGCATTTAATGCATTTAAGATGATCAACCAAGTTTGGGTTATTGAGTCATGGTTTGAATATAGAAATTAGAATAGATCAGCCTCAGTACCAAAGTTGATAAAATTCCTGGCTGCACTATCAACCTAGTTTATATAACTGACTCAAGGTTCTAATGTATAGAACATATATTAGCCCTCAATACTAAAGTAGATAAAATAACATCTTTTAAAAATTGGTAATAGTTGCTAATACTTGTATGTGAAGTATTTTTATTTTTCTCCCATATAAAATTTCATGGTAATCTTCTCTAACGAATGTTGTAATCTTCTATTAATTTTCTTTTAACAGGCTGTTATTGAGTCAAATATTATTCTTCCTTTGGTGTGCCTCCTTCAACATGCAGAATTTGACATCAAGAAAGAGGCTGCTTGGGCCATATCAAATGCCACATCTGGAGGATCCAATGAACAGATTAGGTATAGATAGTTGTTATATATATATATATATATATATATATATATATATATATATATATATATATATATATATATATATATATATATATATATATATATATAATTTGCAGGATTTCTTAGATTTGCAATATGTAATTTGCATCATTGGGCAACTCTTGTATGATTTTTCATGTGGCATTCATGAGATTCACAACTCTGGTGGTTGCTCAACTTTTTTTTGCACTCTTGTTGCAGGTTCTTGGCCAGTCAAGGTTGCGTTAAGCCACTTTGTGATCTCCTGATATGCCCTGATCCAAGAATTGTTACGGTATGCCTTGAGGGGCTTGAGAACATTCTAAAGGTAGGTGAGGCGGACAAAAAATTGGGAATGAATGATGGCATCAATATTTATGCACAAATGATTGATGAATGCGAAGGTTTGGACAAGCTTGAGAATCTCCAAACTCATGACAACAATGAGATTTATGAAAAGGCTGTGAAAATCTTGGAGAAATACTGGGGTGACGAAGACGAAGAGCCAAATCTTCCTGATGGCGTTGATGAAAATCAGCAGGGTTTTACCTTTGGGAACAGCCAGCCTAATGTCCCTGAGGGTGGCTTCAAATTTGGGTAGTAAGGGGAGAGATGCAGCAGCAGCAGCAGGAGGAGGTTTGGCTTTCTTTCTACTTGGTTAGCAAATTTGTAGTTGGCAAAAGTTTCTGGTTGGTTGCCCAAAGGTTGTTTTATTGCTGGAATTTTTACAATTTAATGCTTTTGTTTAATTTGTTTTCTTCTCCTTTTTTATTTGTTTGTTTTTTTTGTTGATTTTCTTTTGGGTACTTGGCATCAAAGAATTATTTATGGGATTGGTTTTGGTTTTGTGTGAAAAGTGAAATGATATGCTTTTAGTTCTGAGTCATAACAAGTGGCTATGGATCAAAGGAGATACACCGCGTTTCTATCAATATAACTATTCTTTTCCACTATTTTTCTCTTTTATATTAATATTAATATAAATTAATACTCTGTAGTTTGATTATACCAAGGGATCTGCAGAAGAATGGGGCAAATTATATTGTGCAACATGGTTTTAAATGTTCCTTTTTAACCATTGAACCTGCGGTACACTTAAAATAAGGGCCAAGACTTAGTACAACCAGACGTTATGCCATGGAACCGTGTTCACCATTCATGGTGAACACGGTTCCAACGGTGTTATATGCACCGTTATCTTTTTTTTTTTTTTTTTTTTTTTTTTTTTTTTTTTTTTTTCTTTTAATTAATTACGTGACTGCCTACACATTCACTTTGGAACCATGAGATTATGAATTTTCTGTTATGAGATTATGAATTTTCTGTTATGCGATTATGAATTTTCTGTTATGAGATTATGAATTTTCATTACATTCATAATTTCGGAGTTTCGGACATTCATAAATTATGAATTCATGCATGCACATTCACTTTGGAACCATGCCTACATATTCCCGTCCGAAATCACGGACATTCATAAATTATGAATCCATGCCTGCACATTCACTTTGGAACCATGCCTACACATTCACTTTGGAACCATGAGATTATGAATTTTCTGTTATAAGATTATGAATTTTCTGTTATGAGATTATGAATTTTCAGTTATGCGATTATGAATTTTCTGTTATGAGATTATGAATTTTCAGTTGTGAGATTATGAATTTTCTGTTATGCGATTATGAATTTTCTGTTATGCGATTATGAATTTTCATAAAATTCATAATCTCATAACAGAAAATTCATAATTTGATCAGTAACGCGCCGTTAACTCCACATCCACGATTTTTTTTTTTTTTTTGCCTAAAAACGACGTCGTTTTGACTTGTGTTCACCATTCTCGGTGAACACGATTCCACGGCATAATTTGCGTAGTACAACTTGAAAAATGTTAACCACTTTATTGTGGACTAGGTCCATCATAATGCCAACCATTATATGGTGGATTATGGTCCAAAACAGTTGTCGTTATCATAAACCAATGATGGATTATGGTCCAAAACATTGTCGTTATCATGAACTAATTGTGTATGTGTGATGTGCATCACTTCTCTTTTTTTTTTTTTTTTTTTTTTTTTTTTTTTAAATATAAAAAGGAAAAGTAAACTTTTGACTTCATTACCTCTACCTCCTGAAGCTTCAAAGCAGTTGTGATTAAGGTGATAATATTGTTATCTTATAGGCAATATTTCATTCCTTGAAAGAATGTATTAAAAAAACAGACATAGTGTTTCGTAGAAAAACTAAAAGTTCATAATACTAAATGCTAATGAAATGTATTAAAGTTCATTACAATGTACTATGGTTCATTATGCTTGAGTTTCATTATTTGTATACATATATGATGTTTCATTTTGCAGATTATATTATATAGAGTTTAAAATTATTCGGAACTAAAATGCAGTCAGAAATCATTTTGAAATCTCTAATGGAATAAAATGAGATGATTGTAATGCCTAGACAATATTGTAGGTGGTTTCACCAAAAAACTTATATTGTCATCTAATAGTTTTTGATTTGGTAAAGCATAGCCCATAATTAAGAGTATCTTTAATTGCGGGCTTGCATTCTCTCGCCCTTGGGCCACACTAGTGCTTAGATTAGGGTAGGCCTGAGCATCAGACGGGTTCGGACGGTTCGGATATATGAACCGTCAACCCGTTCGGATTTCGGTTTATATTCAGCTTACCCAATCCGTAAAATTTTTTAAACTAAACCGGCAGATATATACATTTTCGGATTTGGATTTATTATATCGGATTTTGGTGTTGTTCGGATTTATTTAAACAAAAAATACTCAAAAGTAAATGAACTTAAAATTTTCAACGTATACAACACAGTATTCTGTTTTCACACTATATACAAATATTCCATGTATACAACACATGAACACAGTATATCAAAAATTCAAAATAAGATGAATAAATAATAAAAAAAAATAAAAATAAACTAAGATTTGCGATTACTTCGTTTTTTTTTTTCCAAAAATTTCTCAGAAAACAAGGGTTTCTACGAGACTACAACCATTTGAGACTCCGACGTAGGGCTTCCGGCTTCAACCTGTCACCACCGATCTATCGAACCACCGATCTACCGAACCACCAAGAATGAGCCATCGGAGTAGAGATTCGAGAACTGAGAGTGTCAGAGAGTGAGATTGTGACTCTGTGAGAGGATTGAAAACTAAGAAGGAGAGAAGATACAAGAATTATTGGTGGGTAGAGAAACTGAGAGAAGTAAAGGATTGTGAACTGAGATTTGAGAAGGAAAGAAGATACAAAAATTGTGAGAATGGTGAGTAGAGAAACTAAGAGAGAGAGAAGATACAAGAACAAAGAAGAAAGCAGCTGCGCAGGGGAGAATGGAGGAATGACCGGTCTAGGGTATCATCTTATTAACATATATATATAATCAAAACGACGTCGTTTAGATGTATTTTAATCTAACCCTAATTTTTTTCGGATGTTCGGACGGATCGGATAGCATATTATACTACCCTATCCGAATTAATCAACCCGGCATGTTATTCGGTTTGGGTCGGATATCCATACTTCGGATACGGTTATCCACACAAAGTGTGGTTTCGGTTTTCGGGTCGGTCGGATATTGCACAGCCCTAGATTAGGGTTATTCAATATCTGTTTAGCATTGACTTGCACTGTGGTCCTTTTGCCCTCACTCGAATCTGGGTGACCTCCGGTTAGGTTTTACTCTTTTAGTTCCCCATAATCGACTTGCATATCCATACCAACACTACAAATCTTGAGTTTCCATATTGATTATCCCCTCCTGCCCTTTCAATTTCCCCTTTCATTTGTGGTTCTCACTCTTACTATTCCTCCTTCTCCCCCTTTTGGTACTCTACCATTGCCATGCAGATTTTTAGTGGCCAGCATCTACGGTCCAAAGGTTTCTTTCAATTCCGACTCCATTTGCACCTTTCTATCATTGAAAATCACCTTACCATTTTTGTTAATCTCCCTTGCCCTATCTCCTTCCTCCGTTGTAATCTACTACTCTTCACCGTCGCCATGTTCTACCCTCGTCTTCATGCAGGCATCATTCCTATGGCCATAAACTCCACATCTAAAGCAGAACAAGAACAACCCCTCATATTCTATATAACGGGCTTTGCCCCTTAACATGAATTTCGAGAGCATTGGTTTAATAATGTCTACCTCCACACACATCCTAGTAAACTTGCCTCTCGGAAGTATACTAGTAGCATCATCAATCCTGATCGGCCTTGTGATCTTATTCCCAATCTTTTGCAGAAAACTAAAATTATAGTATTCCATCAGAAAAGCCGGGTAGCTAACCCAAACTAGTACCCTCTTTCTGGTGTCTCTTAGAGGATCAAAATTCAGCGTCAACTTCTTAACGATGAGGTAGTGGTTATGTGGTGTAGTTATAGTTCTCAGCATACTCGAACTTCACTACAAAGTAATCGTTCTCCAAGATCACAAGCTCTATTATCGATTTTGGGATCCATAGTGCTTTATTCTGGTCAAGCATATAGTTGTACATGGCCTTTCATCCTGTTGAGATTAACAAGAACAAGAAACAATAATAATAGCATGATTTACGTGGTTCGGCAATGTGCCTAAATCCATGGGAGGGAAACTATTATTTTATTCATAGTGATGGTGATGGGATACAACCAATGTATTTATAGGCATATAATCCCTGTACAGTGAGCCTAACCCAATTCATTCCACTCCTATTTCTTATATGATACAGACTCATATTCCTAATCACTATATGAGACAAACTCAACCATCTCCACCTTGGCGAATATGCCCTTTAGGAGAAAAGATAATTCATCAAATCTCCACCTTGGTAAATACGTTCTTTAGGAGAAAATACTTATCTCATAATCTCCACCTTGGCAAATATACCCTTTAGGATAAAAGACTTATCTCACATATACACATGGGTCGAAACAACCATGCTCATCCCAACTGGCTAGCCACATGAATCACACAGCATCAAATGTTTCCCAATACATGTTCACGAACTGCTTCATCTCGAGCCATTCGCCTTCAACAGTCGACTTGCCATACCGACTGCGACTCATACTCATCCCAACTAGCCAACCACATGCACCATGCACTATCTAGCGTTCCACCTGTGCATGCTCACGAACTGCTTCATCCCAAGTCGTTCGCCTTCGGTCATCGACCTATCATACCGGCCGCGACTCATGCTAAGTCCTTACCACGCCCAGCACCGATGCTACCCATCCCTACAACACCCTTTAGCCGACTTTCGCATCCGGCCCATACTGGCTCATACCGGCTCATACCAAGTCCACGTCCCCTCTTGGTATCCAGGTTGCCCAACACTATAGCGCCTCTCAACACCTTCTCATTTGGCATCTAGAAATACCCAATAAGTCTAAACAATATTCAATCTTGTCACTAGTAACTTCTAGAACATCACCTTCACTATAATCTGATGTTAGGACCACTTTGTAACTAGATTTTGATGATACGAGACTTAGGACTTTAAACACTCCAATCTTTTTATTTTCTAGACTTAGAGTAAGTATACTCAACATTCGAATCTTAACCGAATGTTTAATGGAGTGGCTAATTTGTACTCAACCAAATGTACACTCGAGGAGGTCAAATCTCTAATCAAGGAGTTACCCGAGTGGTTAACTCTCAGACGAAACGATGATAACTAGCCGAGACTTAAACCGAAGGGTTATCTCTCAACGATTTGTAACCGAAGTGTTAATCAGAGACGAATGATTGAAGACTGAAGATTCGAAGACGAAGACGAAGACCGAGATGTTGTAAAGACCCAATCGTGGAAGGGTCTACCTCTTAAGTATTATCAAGACCGAGTGATAAAGAAAGATCATTAGAGGAGTTAAGGGATGAT